TTATTATAATTTAATTATTTTAATAAATAAATAATTTTATATTAAATAATTTAAGTTTAAAATTTATTTTATTATAATTTAATTATTTTAATAAATAAATAATTTTATATTAAATAATTTAAGTTTAAAATTTATTTTATTATAATTATATTATAATGTGTCTTATTCAATTAATTTCCGTCAGAAATCCGCCGGAAAATCCGCCGGAAATGTATCCGGAGAAAATACGTCGGAAAACCAGTCAAAAATTTTGTCGGGAATTTGTTGAAAAAAATCCGTCGGAAATCCGCCGGAATTTGCGACGAATTTTTTTCCGCCGGAAATTCTGTCGGAAATGAGCTGTTTTCCTGTAGTGCACTTTTCTACAATATAAATAAAAATAATTATGTTTTTATGTATGTATATTTTAGACTAAAAATAATATCATCAATATAAATGAATGTTTATTTTCTCTTAATTTGTTGTATATAGTTGTATAGATTAGTGGTTTGGTGTTTTATCGCTCTCAATTTAATACAAATTTAGCAAATAAAAAAGATGGGTGAATGAAATAAATCACACCAAAAATGATGTGGATTAGAATGATAAAAAAAGAGTGATTGAGAGCACCACAAGAAACAGAGAAAGTAAATGGAGAAATTATTACGTGTAGAGTTTGGACGGTAAAGAATCGTCCGGATGTAAGTATAAATAGTATTTATACACACAGTGTATAAAAAAATCAAATTATGTATACAATTATACTCTGTATACACTATGTACACCGTCCAGATTCTGCATGGAATAATTTCCCAAATAAATGACACAAAAGAATGCTAGGAATTCCACTAGCCACCTTTATAAACCATTAAACCAAGCCATATAATGCAACACCTTCCTGCAGCAAAGAGAGGCGAGGCCAACCTTTTCCCTAGTTAAGGGCGAACTTTTTACACTTGTTTTTATTTTATTATTATTTTTTTTTTTTGACGAGACTAAGGGCAACTCCAACCGAAAAACCACTTTCCACTCCAAAATACGGTAATTCGTTTCCGATCGAACTCCATTTTGCCCGCTTCTTCATCTCGCTGCCAAGTAACCGTCTTTCTCTTCTTTAGCGTGCTTTTTCAACAAATCCATAACACACAAAAAATAGCGTGTGTAAACAGTGCGACTCTAATATTGACGTTGTACTATTCACTCCCGAAATTAGCAGGATTTCTGACGTTCAGCTGAATCATTTAGCGGACAGCATACGGCTATTTAGTGTTTGGTTAGGGATAGTCTAACTTTGATAAGTTTTTATCAGGATCAAGGAAAACCTAAAACAAAGTAAAGATTAAATCCACAAATCTAGAGCACTTAACACAAAAATGTACAAGCTCAAAAATGAATCAAAGATATTGCAATGGAAAAAAATAACAAAATCGGAAATGCCAAGTCAAGCTACTTAGATATTGTGAAGATTATGTAAGAGAAAATTGAATATTTAAATTCAAACTAAAAAGAAACTTATATTAACAAATTAAAGAATCTATGCTTTGAGAATCTCAATACATTTGCAAAGAAAATCTCAAATAAGGTTGAGTTAATCATGGCCAATTGACTTAAGAAAATTCTAAGTACAAGGAATCTATTAAGAGTAACGTGGCTTATAGAGCTTAAAAATGGCTTGTAGATTGTAAATAACTTAGGAAGATATAAAATTAATGTAGATTATTGGGGGATAAATAGAGTATTGGAGCTCATATGAAGATAAAAAATTAGCTTAAAAAGATTTTAACCCAAATTTCAAAAGTTATATTCCAAGAAAAAGCATTATATATATATAATAATTTCAAATATTACCTTCATATAAATATTCATCATAGAAAACTCTAATTTTTTATCAATCTATAACAAAAATCATTAAGTTATTATTTTTTATTTTTAAAATAAAATTGTCCTTAAAAATCATAGTTAATATTTTCTCAAAATAGCATTTTTTAATTTTTTTCTTTAATGTCTTTATTAATAATAAAAAAATCTTACCACCCTCCCTTCAAATGTTCCAACTTAGGCTTTGTTTGAGGCGACTTTCTTGCTTCTTCATAAAACAACTTTTTAGTATAAACTTTTTTAATTTTTATACTAAAAATTACTTTAAAAAGCAGCAAAAAAGCCATTACAAACGAAACCTTAATCATAGTTTCTATATCTCTTATCATAATATATATTTTCTCTCTTTTTTTTCTAACTTAATATCAAATATATTATATAAATAATAAGAAGTTGCAGCTTTCGATTAGCTTACAATACTATTTATCAAATTTTTAGTTTTTTACGATCATTATAAGCTCTATTGCAATTAATTTTGATACTATTTAAAATAGGGCAAATTTTTTAAAATAGGTTTGATTAAAACTTAATTATATAATTAAGTATAAAAAAATTATAAAAATAGCAAAATCGCCTGTTTAACGAGGGAGTTGCTAGTCCAATCAACAGAAAAAATAAAAATACTATAACAAGTTGCCAATTAAACGGAAGACTTGCTACAATAACACTATATTATTTTTTTACATTTTAATTATTTATTATGAATAAATTTAATTATTATATAAATTAAAGAATATGATACCAATGTTGTATCATTTGGATGGAATGGATCATAATTTTTTGAATTTTCTATTTGTAATGAAACCAGATGAAGTTTGTGGATTCGCAACAAAACCAATTGATTTATTTTTACTAAATCTATCATTTTGAAATATTTTCAGTCTTTTAACTAGATTCATTCTTTTAACCATACTCTTGAAATTGCCAGCCCTCCCTCAGCACCTACAGACACGCACAAACAACAACAACAACAACATCAAGTCTTTGTCCCACTACGTGGAGTCGGCTACATTAATCTTTTTTCTCCATTGTGTCATTTTAAAAGTCAAATTCTCACTTAAATCTAATAAGAAAATATCATTTTTAATATTTTTTAACCAAGTCTTTTTAGATCTACCTCTACCTATCTTAATATAAGTCAAATCTAATACCTCTATTTTCCTAACCGGATCATCAGAAAGTCTCAAGTCTTGGATGAGAAAAGTGAAGGGTTGCGTTAGGTAGTCGACAGCTAGCATAAAACTTGTCGACTAATCATTACATGAATCCTTTAAAAAATTATACTAATGCTAGACACGCACAATGAAAAAAAAAAAATCTCAGACAGGTAGGTTGCTCGCACCAATCCTGAGACATTTTCCTATACCGTAAACAATAGTGTTACCGTAGCAACGAGCAAATTGCTACAATATTTTAAAATTTTTCCCATTGACTGGATAGCTAAATGAACAAGCAAGTTGTCCGTTAAACGGAAAATTATTAGGTCCAGTCACCGAACCTATTTCTAGGTCCAGACATCCACTAAAAATTTGCCACATGAAATATAGACGTGTCCGCGAAATTTTATGTCAAGCGCGTCAAAGGCGTAGGTAAAGCGCAGGTAAAGTGCAGTCAAAGCGCACCTAAAGTACAGTCAAAGCGCAGTCCACATGGCAAGTTTTTATTAGAACCTAGAAATAGGTCCGGTGACCGGACCTAATAATTTTCCCCGTTAAACAGATTATGACTTTGGCTATTTAAAAAAATTACAATTCTTAATTATATAATTAAGTTTTTAATCATACCTACTCTAAAAATTTGCCATGAAAATATCTTTTTCTCAATAACTCTACAATCCATCATCTAGTATTCTTATTAATCTAAAATTTCTTTCAATATTATTCTAAACATTCTTTAAGAATCTTCTTAATAAAACAAATCATCTAATCCTTTATTAAATTTGTCTCAACAATTATTTTTTTAAGTATTTGCTAGTTAAAGGTCATAAATTATTTAAAAATAAAATAAAACTTCCCTTGTTATATTTCTATGTATTATTACTCACCTACCTTAAATCCTCTCAAATACCAATTTATTTAAAACTATATTCCCATTTAAATTACCCCAATTGCTATCTTTTACTCTCCATAGATACATTCTAAATAATTTATCTATGTCTACCCTTAAATTTATTTTTTAAATTAACTTTTAATTCGATAAGCAAAACCATATTTATAATGTCCTCATAGATAGTTAATTTAATATCAATCTCCTAACACTAATCCAATCTACCTTAACAATTTTATCTTTAAACTTTCTATCCATTAGTACCTTAATTCTATTTATATTATTAAACTTTCTAACATAGTTTGAAGTTTTCCTTTATTTATGTGGTAACTTGTAAGTAGGGGTGTCAATTTCGGGTCACGAGTCGGGTTTGTGTCGAACCCGAAACTAACTTGACACTATTCGGGTCAACCCAAACCAGACCCGTTTTTTTAAAATGGGTCGGTTTTCCGGAACCGAACCCGACCCGCTTCGGGTCCGAGTCAACTCGGCACGACCCGAATGACCCAGTGCCAACAAAAAAATGCTAATTTTCAGGTCCAAAACGGGTCAACCTCGAGTTGTCGGGTAAAAAACAGGTCAGTTTAGGGTCAATTTCGGGTCAAACGGTCAACCTGAAACCGACCCGATTTTTGAAACGGGTCGAATTGTTGAACACGAACCCGACCTATTTCGGGTTCGGGTTGACTCTAATCCAATATTTTCGGGTCGGGTTCAAGTCGGGTTTTCGGGTCGTGTCAAATATTGACATCCCTACTTGTAAGCAAATAATAATTATTTATATTAATCATTACATCCACCAAATATTTTATCTTTTCATTCATAAAACCAAAATTCAATACGATAAATTTAATCTTAATTTTAAGCCTAATCTATCCTTGCTTAGTTTTTACCAAAATTGACTTATATTGTGGCATGTCAATTGTAGGTGATATCCTAGCAAACCTTTGCCAACTTTTCATGCAATTGCATTAAATCTCTTTATCAAACTTGTCAAAGTTATAGTGTATCACTTACGTGTGACATCCTAGCAAATCCTCACCTACTTCTCACCAAAACCAAATTAGCTCATGGCACATCATTCCACTTCCAGCAGATTCCCTAGCACAAATTAAATTAACTTTGGATTCATTTCATAAATTATACATAAATTTTACAATTAACAATCGACTTAGATCAACCTTCAATCATTCCATTTGCGTTAACTAACATTGACAAACTAGTAATCAATTGAATTTGAACAAGTTAGTGTTACCTCAAAGGCAAAAATTTCTGAAAGTAATCGCCAGATCTTGATCCAGCTCAAAGAAGAACTCACCAGTAATCCTTGCATGAACAATATCCACCCTCAAAATGATGATACCTAGTAGCATCTCTCACAACAAACCTGCGATTAGCAATCTTTGACACCAACTTAATGAACAAATGGCAATCTTCACAAACCCTCAAGTTCTTTATAACGACAATCTCCCTCCCTGGTTCAGTATTCAGCAGCCCAAATGCTATGGCCAACTTCTCACTATGAGTTCCAAAAATCTTGCTCTTCCACATATTCCTCCCTTTGCCCACAAATTTGTTATCCAAATTAGCTTTTACTACTCCACAATTCTCCTCCATTACAAGATTCTCCAATCTGGCAATCATATCATAGATACTTTTGGCCTGCAGGTGGGAATGGTCATCAGCCAAGAACAAATGAACCTTTCCCATATGCTCCATATAGCTACATCCAGGATCCTTTCTAAGTCCTCTGGTTTTCATCATGGCTCGAATCCTTGCAACACCATCTAATCTTCCAGAATCCAAGTATATATTTGACATCAAGACATAGTATCCCACATTGTCAGGCTCAAGCTCAACGACATGTTGAAAAGCCATCTCCCCGAATTCAGTATTTTTATGGATTTTACAAGAAGACAAGAGAGAGCCCCAAACTGCTCCGTCAGGCTCCATAGGCATGGAACTGATGAGCTCCACAGCTTTTTTTAGCAGGCCAGCACGGCCCAAGAGATCCACCATACAGGCATAGTGCTCCGGCCGAGGCTGGACTCCATAGACACTTTGCATATTCGAGAAATACTGGATTCCAGCTTTGGTCAGTCCTGAATGGCTACATGCAGATAACACGCTCACCATCAAAACTCCATCAGGCCGCAGGCCTTCTGAAAGCATTCTGTCAAACAGGTTCAATGCAATCTCTCCATGGCCATGTATTCCGAATCCAGATATGATAGCAGTCCATGAAACAAGGCTTTTGTCAGGCATTCCATCAAAAATCTTGCTCGCACGAGCTAAATCTCCACATCTAGCGTGCATGTTTATGAGCGCATTTTTTAGGAAGGTATTGGAGCTGAAAGATGGGATCTTTTCTATGTAGCGTTCGACTTTTAGCCCAAAGGCGTGGGCGCCGAGATTGGCACATGAGGAGAGCACGCCAACGATGGTGACTGGGTCTGGATCAGCTTCCCCAGAGCGCTCCATTTCATCGAACAGGTCGAGAACGCGGTAGCCGAGGCCGTTCTGGGAGCAGCCGGATATCAGAGCGTTCCAGGAAATAAGTTCGCGGGGTTTAGGCATCTCATCGAACACGTGGCCGGCGAGATCGATATCGCCGGTCTTGGCGTAGGCGGTGATGATACAGTTAGTCACAGCCGGGTCGAAATTGAAGCCGGAGAAAACGGTCAAGGCGTGGAGTGAGGAAATAGAAGCTGGAGGAGAAACGGGAATCAATGCGAGAAGAGTGATGGAATTGAAAGGGAGGTCAGAGTGTCGCATTCGGTTGAAGAAGGAGAGGGGTTCGTTGGAGGGAAAGGCATGTCCGGAGATGATGGAGTTGAAGCAGACGACAAGGGTGGGGATCGGGGTGGGGGAATCGGGGGCGGAGATTTCGTGGAGAAGGGCGTGAGAAAGGGGGATGAGCGAGAGGCGGGCGTATGCAGATAGAAGGGAGGAGATGACAAAGGCGTCGCCTGGGATATGGCCTGACTTGAGGGCGAAGGAGTGGAGATTGGAGACAGTGAAGGGGAGGGAGAGTGCAGCCGCCGAGCGGAGAGGGGATGGGAGAGAGAAGGCATCCGGTCGGGGGTTGGAGTGTACGAGCATGAGGCGGAAGAGGGCCAAGGCTTGGCGATGAAAACCGCCGTCGGCGAGTTCCCGCAGGCGGACGTTCCATGGGCAAGTTTTGCAGGAGCTTGCACTGTTTATTGTGATTGCTGCTTGTAAAGGTTGTATGGTTTGGAATAGTGAAGATGAAGATGGCATAATCCGAAGAAGTCAAATGGTCTCATTCCTTTCTCATCTAAAAAAAAAATTTTACATACATAACATCCTATACTATTCTATTTACATATTTAACACTTAAGACTTTAATATTATATATATACCACAAATAGTTCATTTTCATATCAAATATGAGAAGTAGAAATGAAATATATAAGTGGCAGGAAAGAAATATGAGTGATATATTTGATATTAAAATTTTAAGTGTTAGATATATAAATAGGATGTTATAAAATGGTATGTATGTAAATTTCTCAAAAAAAAAAAATATTACATATCTATCATTTTATTTCATGTTATTATATAACTCAAATTTCATTTTTATCATTCATACAATCCTGAAAACTTTAATATTTCATTACATGCAACTATATTTGATCTATGGATAGTATGCATGTAATATTAAAATTTTAGATATTAGATATGTAAATAACACAGAAGAAAGTGATATATATATATGTAAATCTAAAACAAAGCTTTTTTAATAAATAAATAAATAATAGAAAAAAAAAACATATTTCAAATATTTTCCACTACATGCATAAATAAATAATTGGCAACCAATCAACTCAATATGTAGTTAAATAAACAAATAATAGTAATAATATGCTATTTAATAAATAGTGTATACTCAAATACGTCTGTGTATGCAACTCGTAGTAGGTGTCTAATAGGTTTCAATCAAATGACTTATTATAGAGACTTAAAAGATTTCAGAGCTCTGTCTCTAACTCTTCGAACTAACTCAAATCTAATTTAATTTTCAAGCATTTACCTACAAGTTACTAGCTAGTAAGATCAGTGTCATCCACAAAGAAATTTGCATCCAACAGATGATACTGAGGATATGCTAGCTAGTGTGAGAATCTTCAATCCTTTGGAGGAACTCAAATAGAGGTTGACATGGGATCTATGTAGGCTAGTCAATGAATTGTACTAAGATTCTATGTGATCTAAATATCAAATTGATTAATAAGATAACAAGTTCATTTATAGGGTTTAAAGTAGGGGTTCAACATTTTACATGACACGAAAATCCGACCCGATTTCAAAACGTGTCGGGTTCGGGTTCTCGTATTCGACCCATTTGAAAAAGCGGGTCGGGTTCGAGTTGACCCGACGGGTTGCCGGGAACCCGAAAACCCGTTTAATTTAAAAAATTTGGATTCCCGCCCGTTGCCCGCTGCCCCCGCGGGGATCATACTTTAGTATCCTCTATATATATATTAAAAAATTATCATATAGAGCACAAATCTCAAAGCAAATTTTAGTGAAAATTTTTTGAAATTAAATATAGAGCTCTTCAAACTCCAATTTAACAAACTTATAGTTGAATTGAATGCCTCGAACAGATGAATCTACCGAAACTAAAATCAGTCTAATCTGAAGTCAAATGAGTCAAATATGAGGTTTGAAGTATTTTTTGAAATTTCAAATTATAAATTGGATGATCAAATAATATCAAAATATAATATTGTTATTGATATATCCTTGAAAAAATATCTTGATTGAGCACGAATCTCGAGGCAAAAATCAAGTTGGAGACTTCAAAAACTAATTATGGGATCATATGAACTCCGATTTTAGCAAATTTATAGTCGAATTGATCGTCTCGGAAATACGAACCCAACGACACTAAATTCAGCTCAATCCGAGCCCAAATGGGTTTGAATCAAAGGCCCGAAGCACATTCGGAAGGTTCGATCCATAATTTGGATTACCAAATGGCTTTTAAATATGACAAGCTTATAGTTGAATTGAGCGGCTCGATGAGACGAATCCAACGAGCCCAAGATCGCTGAATTCCAATATCATTAAGACCTTCAAATGTCTGATGAACGGTCCATGATCAAGGGATTCAATATCAGCCTTCCGTCCAAACCACTCCCTAATTGCCCTTGATCATCCACCCATTTACAAGCCATGTCACTCCATAATATCTATAAATAGCCCCTCATTTCTCTTGAGATAGGGGGAGAGCAAAAGCAAGGAGGAGAGCCAAAGCAAGGAGAAACAAGAAGAAGAAGAGAAGATTAGGAGGGAAGAAACTCCTCCTTGGCCGTCGTTGCCGGAATTTTGTTCAAGTGACGGCGGAATTCCACCCGACCTCCAAGTGATGCCGGAATTCCGTCCGACCTTCAAGTGACGCTGGAGTTCTGCCTGAATACCATCTAACGTCGGAGTTTTCCTCGGCCACCAACTAACATCGGACTTCTACCCGACGTCGGACCTCCGCTCTTCGCCAAATTTCTACATTACGTTGGAATTCTACCAATTGTTAGACTTTCACCAGACATCTATCTGATGTTGGATTTCTGTTCATTGATGGACTTCTACCAGACGCAGTCCTTCCGACATCCATTGCCTGCCGACTAGGTCCTTTAGACTAACGTCGCCTGCTGATTACAGTCCTTCCGACCTCCGTCGCCTGCTGACTGCAGTCCTTCCGACTTACGTCGCACACCAACTATAGTCCTTCAGACCAAACAAGCACATCAACAGTGATGCTTTATATTCTCACCATGTAATGTACTTTATTAGATGTACATCAAGCTAAGGCCTTCCCCCGAGGAAGGGCCTCATTTGTAATCAACTACAATACTAGTGGATTCATTTAAACTGAATCAGGCCCCGTGATTTTTCCTCCTTTTTAGGAGTTTTCCACATAAAAATCTTGGTGTCTTATAAATGTTACACACCCTCTCTCTTATCTGATTACGTGCTAGATTTTCGTACAATGCTAAGACGTAAAACTTTATATTTATCTACCGCCGCGAATACTCCTGGACGCAACACTTTAGTCGAATCAAGCAGCTCAGATCTGAATACTTTGTCTTATTATGAGATTTGAATTTGGATGCATATTAATTTATTAACTCATATTTTTTAAAATTATGATTAAAATTCACATAAAAATCAAATTTAAATTTTTTTAATTATAAAGCTGAAATCAGGACTTCTGTACGGCTTCCAATAATTGGTCGAGCTGTCATGGTCTTATCTGCAGCCGTAGCAAAAAAGCTAAAGCTAAGAATTCACATATGCTCTTATTGTTGTCACCTCACTTTCATTGCTTTTCATGATTCTCGTTGCTCATCTCCTTTCCTCTTATCCCACCTAACTATCATTAGAAAAAAAATATTTGTGATATTCTAGGGTTGATTACTTGATCTCACACCATGAAAAAAAAAATCAAAATTAAATTTTTTTAAAAAGAAGAAATGAAGATAAAATCAAAATTGATAAATTAGTTTAATATAAGAGACATTTATATGCATGATATATATACAAATAGAGATTTACTTAAATGACAATTAAAATATTAATGTCTACATATTTAACATTTGAATTTTATTATATAGCTCTATTAATAGAGTTAATGGATTTTGCCGAACACTAATCTGACACTTGCTGAACATGGATATATTTCACATTTCTTTTCTTCGCACATCGTTGAAATGCATTCCCCAAGCCGGTTGTTGTTGTGAAATTTCTCTCATTCAAAAGTCGACGGTCTCGTTGACAGCTTCCATTAGTGATATTCTACCATAAACCTCTTTCTCCTTCACATGTTGATCTTGTCAATGCATTCGCCAATGAGTTGTTGCAAACCCATTTCCATTCAAATGTCTGCCAGTTGTGTCAGTGTCTTCGTCTAGTAAGCTGTCATAATCCTTTTCTTCTTCACATATGGTTGATGATGTGTATGTTCTTTATCAATGAGCTAATGTTACATACCCCTTTTCTCCTTCATGTATTGCCAATCTAGGGTACACCTTCCCTCAACGAACTAATGCCATAGAACTCTCTTTTCCTTTGACTATCATGTCATATTTGCATCTCTTACCATTGTGTCACAACCCAACACAATTTGATCACAGACATAACAGGTTATATCGTGTTGAGTAGTAACAAGCTAACCCAAGATTTAAGTTTCAGGAAATTTTTAGATTTTTCTTTAATTTAAATTAACCACAAAACTTCTAATTAACTTTTTTTAATCAGAAAAATAAATCCAATCACAAATTTTGATTACTTTCATTCATTGCCAAAATGTATGTACAATTACAATTCATTATTAAAATGCTTAGCTAGAAAGCATAACAAAACAAATAAATAAATGAATAGCCATGACTAAACAAAATAAAATATGTATATATACAAACTCAAACAAATCAAAATATGGGAATTTCTCCTTAACTTGAAACAAAGTATATAATACGTGTGAGTCAGCACAGCTTAGTAGGTCATACCCACTTATCTAAGTTTTTAAATATTTAACTAAATTTAAAGATAGTTCATAAGAAATTTACCATACTGAGCATGCTACTATAAATTGCGAATCACTGGAATAAGACATTATACACAACAAGAACATCAAGGCTTTATCCCACTACGTGGGGTCGGCAATATGAATTCTTTTTTCTCCATTGTGTCATGTTAAGAGGTAAATTCTCATTTAAATATAATAAAGAAAAGTCATTTTTAATATTTTCTAACCAAGTCTTTTTAGGTATGCCTTTACCATTCTTAGCATAAGCCAAATCTAATACATCTACTCTCCTAATTGGTTTATGAGAAGGTTGTTGTCTTATGTGACCAACCATCTAAGGCGACTCTCTCTAATATTATCTTTCATTGGAACTACTCCAATCTTTTCACGTATATGCTCGTTTCGCTTCCTATCTCTAAGAGTAAAGACACTCATCCACATGAGTATCCTCATATGTGCAACACTTAACTTAATATTATAATTTTTTATTTTTTTACACTTAACTTAATATTTTGTTTCTGTTTTAATGACTAACTTTCTACATCATAAATCATTGCAAGTCTCATCGCCATCTTATAGAATTTTTCCTTCAGTTTGAGAGGAACTTTTCTATCACACAACATGCTCGTTGCATTCCTCCACTTCAACCATCCAACTTGAATTATATTAATAATATCACCATCAATTTCACCATCACTCTAAATAATAGACCTAAGATATATAAAACGTGTATTCTTATTAATGACTTGA